CCTTGCTGGAGGAGGATCGGTGTTTGTGGTCGAGCAATGGTTTGCAGAAGAGGTTCTGGACTGAGGCTTCGACATATTTGAGTCATCCTATTAAATAGTTGTCAACTGCTGTGATTGGAGGTAAAACTCCATTGGAAGATAGGTCTGGTTGTGTCACTTTGTATGAGGCTTTGATGAGGGAGCCAATTGACTCTTAGCAGGTGGAGAGTTTTGGATAGACCTTAGAGGTATCGCAGCGGGTGGAGATTGATGCTACTTCATATTGGGTGGGGATTTTCCCACATACTCCAGGTCATTCTGCATTTGTTGGGATTCTAGCTGAGGTGACACAGCGCGGGAGTCATTTGGATTCGGATGCGGATGATGAGTTGATAGATCCGAGTGCAGCTGGTGGATGTAGCTTGGATACGACCATTGGTTCACCTCAGGTGAAGGTGTTTGAGGCCATTGGAGGTGCAATCAGTCGCAGAGTTGATGATATTGAAGAAGGGTTGCGAACTCTTCTATTTGATTGAGGTCGTTCGCGGCTATTTGGATGAACTACGTGAGGCTTGATTCCTTGGGCAAGAGGATACGTAGACAGTCTTTATGATGCAGTCGGGTTGGATTTTGATGGGGGTGAGATCGATTTGGTGAGTTGATACCGATATTTGGAGAGTGTTCGCATTCTCGTTTGGGTCTCGACTTGTTGTGGATTGAGTCAGTTGTCATGAATTGCTTCACTTCGTACTGGACCTAATAAGTGAGACATTTGTTTGGTTGGTGTCGGCTCAGTTTTGAAAAAACTTCACCGAGGTGGAGAATTGTGAACACGTGAATAGTGCAGACGCGTTTTCTTTTGAAAAACGTGTGGGAGCCACACGGGATGATTTGTGAACGAGGAGGTTTGTTTATTCAACGGGTAAAAGAGGCCCACCTGCTTCCGCATAGCTATTAATACCCTAAGGTTGCCTAGGGTTTCGTGGTGTGAAGTGAGGAGGTGCAAGAGCAAAAGTTTTTTTTGGCTGCGATTTGCTTTGTGGAAGTACGGTGCAGGTGCAGGTGCATGAGCAGAAGTGCAAAAGAAATCGCAGACAGAGGAGAGCTTTTGAGAGAGATATTTGTATGAGAGGTTTGAGAGTTTGTGTGAGGGTTTAGATTGAGTGATTGTAAACCCTAGTTGTATTCTCTACCTCTAATAATAGATCTCCCCCCTCCTTGCCCCGTGGACGTAGGCAGTTTGCCGAACCACGTAAAATTGGTTTGTTTGTGTTTGTGGCCATTGTAATAGTTTTTAGGATCCCTCGATAAGTCAGTCCTAGAACTGATGAGAGGAAGAGCCGATATCTCACTTTGTTGAGATATTCGCTTCAGATTCTTGTTTTCTTGGTGAGACAGGAATTCTTATTGATCTTTCTTTCTTATTGTGCATCAAAAAATCTGCCGAAATTTCCGCTGCGCACAACATTTCATTGGTTATGATCGATTTTAGTTCAGTTTCATCGGTTACGATCCATTAAAAATTAATTACGCAAAATTCATGATTTTCATGGGCTTTAATCCATAATCTTTGTTCATTTTTACCCTAATGACAATTAATTATCTGTATTTCAAAATCACAATTTTCATGGGATATGTATAACCTATGAGTTTGTCCATTTTTGTTCGTTTGGCCTAAAATTAAGTAAGCATATACTTCAGAACTTTGCGGTGTTCATAGGCTATATCCACAATTTTGTCCAATTTCATTTATTTCTATCAAATAACATTTAAGTGTGAGTACTTTAAAATTCACGATTTCATGGACTATATACCACGATATTGTTCATTTTTGTTAGTTTCAACCCAATGAAAATTAAGTATGTGTAATTCAAAAATCACGATTTTAG